GCCCTGCGCTCCCCGACGGAACTTTCTTGCCTCCCGGGCTTCTTTCGCAGCAGCTCGCTTCTTTCCAGGTCCCCCGTGTGTCCCCCTTCCCCGTCCCTGCCCGGTTTCTGGGGACCTGAGACGCAGCCCCTCTCCTCCAGCCGTTTCTGGGCTCCTTTTGTACGGGCTCGCCGAAATCCCGTTCGGGCTTTGGGATGTGGGGGAAGGCGTCAGGAGAGGATGGGTGAGGTTTCGTACCCGCTGCCAAAAGCCCTGGGAGCAGCCGCGGAGCCCCCTTCCCCTTGAAGAGCGGAAAATAGCCTGGCTCGAAGGCAGGCATCGCTCGCTGGCGGTCCGTGAAAAAGCAGCTCGCTTTCTTCTGCGGAGAAAGTGCTGAGCTTTTCCTCTGCCCCCCTCCCCATCCCGGGTGTCCTCAGTGTTTAAACTCGGGTTACAAACGAGCTGTGTTTCTCCCGCTAGAGCCCTGGAAAAGCCTCGCATCTGGCAGAGCCGTGGAGGGAGGCAGCTGACATGAGAAATGCGCCCGGGCTTTGGGAGCGGAGCTGGGCTGGGCTGGCGGGGAAAGGTGCCGGACGTTTCGTGGAGGGGGCCTCTCCCTCCAAACTCCCTTGGATGTTTTTCTCATCGTAGGTCTTTGGCCATGAACCCCATCCAGAGACCTGAGATGTACATCATCGGCGCTCAGCCGGTGTGCAGCCAGCTGCCGGGGCTCTCCCCCGGGCAGCGCAAGCTCTGCCAGCTCTACCAGGAGCACATGGTGTTCATCGGGGAGGGGGCCCGCAGTGCCATCAAGGAGTGCCAGTACCAGTTTCGGCAGCGGCGGTGGAACTGCAGCACGGTGGACAACACCTCCGTCTTTGGGCGGGTCATGAAAATAGGTAGGAGCACTCGGTACGGGGTGGGTGCCGGGGGCAGGCAGGCTGTCCCTGGGCAGCTTTCTCCCTTTCTTCAACTACACTGTGTGTGTGGGGGGGGTGGGTGTTTCTTTGGGGGACATGGGAAGGTCAGGAAGAGGGGATCTGCTTTTGTTTTGTGTGCTTGTTTAGAGGTAGGGAGGGAAGAAGCTGGAGCCGGGAACAATGGAGCCACGCTATCATTCCCAGCATCTGGAGCGCCCTCGGACAGGGAATGCAGAACTGAGATGTGGGAAATATGGACTCCCCTGGCATGGGATCTCCCCCCTTCCCTCCCCGTTCTGCCACTTTCTGTGTAAACCTAAGAGATTTTTATAATTCCTGCCCTGCTGGCCATAAGAGGCACATTGACAGGCCATTGCTGCACTTGAATTGAGGTGTGACCGAGCCACATTGTCCCAGCTCCTTTTGAAATGCAGTCATCTGATGGCAAGAAACTGAGAAATCCGGGCTTGGTTTGATGTGTCCGACAGCCAGGACAATAAAGAAAAGGTGTTAAAGCAGCCGCTTACACACACGCGCACACACACACTCACTCTCTCTCACCAGCCCCAGGTTTTGTTTCCCACCCACAAAGCTGATCATTTACACTGAAGAATCCAGAACCAGCACTGTTTCTTGGTTGTAAGGTCAGGGAAAACACTTAGCAAGGAATGGAAAAAGACCTCCAGCTCCTGCGCCCCCAGCATTGCTTGCACCTTTTTGGCTTCACTCTCAAAAAACCCCCCAAACTTACAGGCAGCAGGGCACCAAGAGATGCATCTTTAATACCTCTGGGGCATCAAGGTGATAGGGCACCGGGGTAGCCAAGTCCTGTGATCCCCTCCATTTGATCCTGAAATTCTTATGCGTCATCCTGGAGAATTTTAGGGACTTCTTTGCATGTGTTACTCAACCTTTCAGAATCCCTAATTCAGCCCACCAGAGCTATTCTAATTCCTCTTTTTCTGCCCAGCTGATACTCCAACAAATCCCCGCTTCTCCGGGATACTCCCCTGGGAAATGCTGTTTCCTGAAGCATACTTTCAGCTCCTGACACATATCCAAGGCATCTGCACATCCTTGATCTCTTGCTTTCTGATAGCAAGGGTGGTGGCCAGATGAGACTACATGCAATCCCAGATTGTTAAAACTTGTGCTTCGGGGTATGAAAACTGGTATTTCAGCTACCACAAGGAAAGGACAGAAAATACACCTCCATCTCTCCCTTCTTGGTGTCCCTCCCTCACATGTAACTTAGCCCAAAGAACAGGGTAAATTTCAGATCCCCAGGGAGATCTAGTGACTCTGCAAGGACAGAAGAAAATAGGAATTTCCCATTCTGGAGCAAACTTTCTCCTCTTCTTCAGTACCTTCCTGCATCCCCAGGTTGGTACAGTAGGCAAGTCCACACCTGGAGAAAAGAAAGGTGAACTAAGAGAAGGCAAAGATCAGAGGTGAAGAATGAAAAGCAGTTAGGAAAGATCAGAGGGTGTACAGGAAGAAGGGACTTAGAGTGGATAGTGGAAGAGGGAAGATGCCTCCTCTCTAAAATAAATTTGATCCTGTTAGTTTAGACTGGGAGTAGATTTGGGTTTTGATGAGGGAAGAGGTAGTGTGGGTATGCGATGGGTATGTCCAGTAGTCCTGCTGCTATTATTTGTTTTGTGTGTGCGTGCATTTGTTTGCTAGGACTACCGTTGTACCTCTAGTAGGAATCTGTGAGGCAACCGCCTGCGCTTGCCTGCTGTTTAAAAAGCTATCCTAACAAAGAGTTCTGAAACTGGGTCCTTTAGATACTCTGGTGAGTTAGAGCATGGTCAGATGGTTGTACTCCAGCACAAGAGAGCACACAAGTAAGAAAAATGTCACCAAAGATGGCCTGGGGTGTTCCAGGGTCTATGATGATTCACCATCATTGCCTATGTCCACAATAAGCTGCTGGGGAAGGGGATGGTGCCTCTTCTCTTAATTCCACCTTCTGCTTTTTCTTTCTTTGTAATGAGGCGTTGCTCATCATTTCAGCAAATCTGTTTTCCACGCTGGGGAAGAAAACAAAGCTTTTCAATCTCTCTGTGTCAACTACAAAGTCATTCTTCCCTGGGTTCATACTGTGTGCCTGTCTCCTGTTTTCAACCTCTGAGCCCCAATTCTGGACCACAGCCCTTTTTCTGTACTCTCTGCCAATGGCACAAGAAAGGTCTGGAGACCAGAATATCTGCAAGAGCACAGAGGCATGCCAGAGTGTTGGGGGGGGGGAAGCGGGAAGAGATAAGAAGGACCCAGAAGGTGGGTAGTGTGCCAACAACTCTCAGCTGCCCACCCACTGATGCAGGCATGGCATAGATTATATGATTCCTTGAGCTGCTCTGGACTGTGAGAGGGGAGGAGAACCTGCCCTGGCCAAGTCCAAAGCCTGGGAGCTCCTTGGGAGAATGTTCACTGAGAAACCTGGAAGATTGGTTTCCTTTCCCTGCTCGCAGAACTTGGCTCAGCTCGGAAATAGGAGACCCGGTTGGTCTGTGTTTAATCATTACACCTTCATGTTATGCATGTGAGGCAGTCCAGTGATACAAAGCTTTTGTAGAGGCATCCGTAGCACTGGATTAGGCTGCTTTTTAACATCGGTTTTTCCTAGTGTTTGTGGTGTTGTGAGAATTGCTCTTACCTTTGAAATGTGATTTATACAGTAATGATAATCTGACAATATGCAAAAATTATCCTTCTGAAGTTGCTTCTTGTTCTGCCAGTACAGATTTTAGGCTGCACGTGTGCGTATATCTACCTCTCTACATTCTATACAGACACATTCCTTACTTCTGCATTTATGAGGCAGAGGACAGAGCACCCAAAAAGGTCGCGTTAGAATTTCCTCAGGGGAGGAGAGAGTCTATCTCCTTCAGTGCAATCCTAAACCGCAAGGCTGGGGTTTCCAGGCTTGTCCAGTCATTTCTGGAGCCAAAGATCTTATCTCTTCTGCCTTTTCAAATGCAAAAAGAGAAAAAAAAGGAGTCATAAAAGAAGAGAACAAAGAGAAATATTTTTCCTCCTTTTCCTTTGAAACTGGCAAACTTTAGGGAAATGCTTTTAAAAAGCTGAAACGAAAACTTTTTCATCCCATTTTTATCATCTTCGTGTCAGTCTCCCCGCTGGGGTCCATTCTCCCATCTCCTTCTCATGCAACTCCAGGGAAGCAATCTGCAGGGACCGACACCTTCCCTGGGCACAGCCCATGCTGGCACCCTCCACGGTGCCCCCCAAAAGCCGCCGCGGCCTGGGGCTCCCCATCCTGGTGGTGGGTGGCCAGCGGGCACAGGAGGGCAGCAGAGCTCCATGGAGCTCCACACCGGTGGGCAGAGCCTCCCGGGAACAGTGGCCCCAGGCATCCTCCCCCGAGCCTGGCCAGGGCACGGCGACCCCCCGGGGTGACTCCGGGCCATCCCAGCTCAGGAGAGCTCGGTGTGCGAGAGGGCAGGAGGGGGTTTACTGCCTGACCGTCTCCGTAACCCCTGTTCACGTTTGCATAAATTTGGGGAATAACTCCCTGGCCCATTTAGATGATGGCACAGTGTCGTGGTACCAGAGTGAATTTTGAGACGATGACCAAAAACCCAAATACTTTTTCAAGGCCGGAAGGTGTGGTAGGAGAGCAGAGAGAACGAGAATGTGTAAGCCCACAATTGCCAGCTACAGATTTGCTTTGCATTAGCGCAGGGTTTCATGCACATGCCCTATCCCGCCTCCCAAACAGAGCCACAGTCTTCCAAACCTACCTTGAGTGAGCACCATGGTTTGTTCTGCTTCGTGGGCAGCAAGGGGGCAAGAAACCCACACACTGTGACTTGCTTTAGCTTCTCCCACCACCATCCTCAGCAGCCTAAACTCCTCATACAGAGCCAGGAGCCGCACATTGAGTTGCTGCTACGTTTGAAAGTTGGAGGTGGTTAAAGCATGGACAGTAAAAGTGCGAATCCCACCTGTGCTTTCAGTAGAGGGATCTCAATCGAGCTGTGAGGATGCTAAGCACCTGGAGCCGTGCAGGCTCTGTCGAGCAAGCCATAACACTGGGGGGTCCTTTCCCCCCTGTGTCTTTTTTAATCTGCATAGATGCAGGGAGTGCTCTGCTTAGCAGGATGATTGGTGTGCCCGCAGGGCTCTCACTGTACCAGCACAGACTGGTGGGGGCAAAACTGCACATTGGACCGTTACCTTAAAATACCTGTAGCATGCGAAACAAAGTAGATGAGTTGCTGAAAAATGACCATAACTTCCTTATAGGCTAGTCTCAGCTGAATTACCTTAACTAGGAGTCACTCCTCTTTACTTCTTGGATCAGGGAGGTTTGGGGGGGCATAGTCCTCTCCTTAGGACCTGCTAGTAAGGCCATCCCTTCTATATTAAGTGTCCTGTAGCATTTTTTGTCTTGTGCTGTACTCCAGCCCTTAGCGCACAACTCTCATTTTGGGGGGGGGTGTGTGGATCACAAGTTGTTCTTCAAGGTGGATGCCATTCACAGCCTTGCCTTTGTCATGGGTCATTACCACTAAGCTGGTGATAAGCTGCTATTAATTACAGATTGTCAGCACATGCAAATTGGAACAAGAGCACACCAAAAGCATCAGCTCAGTTCTGCTGAGGGAGCTGGCACTGAGAACCTGGTAGGTTGGTGACAAACTGCTCTTGGAGAATCTGCCCTCTGAAGTCATGCAAATTTGCTTGAGAGCATTAGAGGGTCGCCTCTTGCTGGGGTTTGGTGTAAGTAGCTCTTCACAATCAGATTGCTTATTACAATGAAGCTTTGGCAGTTGTTCTCTTCATCACCTGAAAGTTTGGTGATGCACACAATGACTCTGAAGGTGTGATTTTAGCTATTTATTACACCGTGTGGTGAGAGCACAGGTGTGGATTGCCTCCGCCTCCTCATCCCCCTCCACTCCCCTCTTTCAGACCCACAGCGCTCACTGGTGCAGCACAGCTCGGCCTCATGCAGTGTTCTGGCTCTGTTGGTGCCCCGGTCAAATTGGGGCTGAATCACTGCCAGGAATACATAGCTGGAGACCCGATCCAGCTGCTTGGCTCAGGCTTTAAGCTGTACAGAGCACACACTCCAAGCAGGGCAGTCTCTAGTAAACCTGCTAATGGAAAGTCGTTTCATTTATTATTGTCTACATGGGAAAGTTTTACCTGTTCCAGCGCTGCAGTTGTGGAGGCGTTGGGAGAGTCTCTGCTGTGATGCTTGAGTGTAAAAATGGGTTTCTGTCAGTTTGTCTCAAAACAATTCTCAGCTGATGTTATGTAAACCAAAATAAGGTCGATGAACTCAGGAGCCCACAAAGAGTGCTTGTCCCAATTAAATGAAGACCATTCCAGAGCGATAGCTGGCTTAACCAGAATGCTCCTTTTGCACAGGACCAACTTCGTTAGTTGTTTTCAATGATTATTGGCAAATTCAGTGGCTGAGGCAGCAGCTGTATTTTCAGCAAGTGGATAATGCTCTTGCTGATTGAGAGTTTCCTCTGGGTTAAAATGAGAGCATACTGAAGGGCTGATCTGAGAGGAAGGAGGCTGAGCGCTCCCTGCCTGTGGTGTTGCTGTTTCTTTTGGGCAAGGCCTGGGGTTTCCAGGGCTCTTAGATGGTCAAACGTAAGTATAATAAAAATAATAACCCTTGAGGAGCAGCACGTACAAGTTCACGAAGAACATGCTCTTCCCGAAAATATTCCTCCAGGCAACAGCAGGAGTCTCGGCCCTTTTCCTGGTGTGTGTCAGAAAATCAGATTTGGGGTTGATCCTGGTTACACAGAAACTGCCAGCTCTGGACAGTCAGTTGGCTGGAGCTGTTGTTGTGAAGTGAAAACAAAACCAGGATGCAAGCATGTGTTACGGCAGTTCCCCATCTACCAGAACAGGGCCCTTGTGCTTGACCACCCCGTTCCTTTGTTCCAGTTAATTCCGTGCACCTTCTCAGAACACACCATGTCCTACTCTCCGGAGCCCGTTGGCTTGCTCCTTGCTGCACGTTGTGTTTGTTAAATAAGATCTGTCTCTCATTAATTTGCTTCTCACGTCTCTCTCACAGGGAGCCGAGAGACTGCTTTCACCTACGCCGTCAGTGCTGCCGGGGTGGTGAATGCAATCAGCCGGGCTTGCCGTGAAGGAGAGCTCTCCAGCTGTGGCTGCAGCCGGACCGCCCGGCCCAAGGACTTGCCCCGAGACTGGCTGTGGGGTGGCTGCGGGGATAACGTGGAGTATGGATATCGTTTTGCCAAAGAGTTTGTGGATGCCAAGGAGAGGGAGAAGAACTACGTGAGAGGTTCAGAGGAGCAGGCCCGCATGCTGATGAACTTGCAGAACAACGAGGCTGGTCGCAGGGTAAGATGGATGCTGACCCTTTCCTCTTTCTCAGGGTCAGAAGGCTTGAGATAGCTAGATACCAAATTACTTGGAGGTTTGAGGAGGGATAGTCCAATGATGCCCCAGTGATGGTGTATGGTCACATTTACTGCATTTTAATCAATATTACAGACAATATTGAAAATACTATATTCCAGTTTCAATGGCAGGCTTCCATTGCCAGCTAAAGCTAGTGAGTTTTTGGGTTTGTTGAGATACTGTGTGACACACGTGTGCAGACATGTAAGCCCTTTCCAAATGGGCTAGGTGCTGTCATGGCCCGCTTTCAAGGTTTACATCTCAGAAACTGGCTTCCTAGAGCTGTGAAAATGACAGGCTGGTGGTGAAAAGAAGGATCTGTTGGCATGTGGAGTTCTCTTCTACTGCCATCATCCAGATTTTTGGGAATATAAAGCCAGAAGCAAACATCGAATTAGCCTACCTGGCTGTCTCTGAAACTTATGCCTTGCTCAGTTACCTTGGTATTCGGGCAAAATAAATCATTTGCATCTGGTTGGCAGGCATTTTCTGAGAAGATACACAGTTTTGATCTGGAGACCCCTAGGGATGGAGAATCCATCATTTCCCTTTGTAGTATGCTACTGTCATTAATCACCCTGTTTCAACGCTGTGCCTCGTTATCATTTTAATTTATCTGGTGTCAGCTTCCAATCAGGTCTTTTTCTGACTTTTACAGCTAGATCCAAAAGCCTCTTAGTAATCAGAATTTCCTCTGCATAGAAGTATTTATCAACTGTAATTTATTCACCATTCTTTCTTGACAAACTATATTGAGCACTGAAGACTCTCTCATCAGCCATCAAATCATTTTCATGTAACTTTAGCGTACCCTTTCCCATATCCTTTAAGAGACTGGATACCAAAATGACACGCTGGGTTCTGGTATTGTTCTCACTGATGCTGTAAATGTAGGTGAAGTTGCCCCCTTTGTATGCATTTGGTGTATGCACATTTGCTTTTTACGCTATTCCTCTGCCTGTGACAAATAGCCTGGGAGGTTTAGCATCTTTCATCTGCGGTACAACTGTGTAATCCTGCCTCTTTCCAAATCTAGAACCGGAATACTTGATCACTTGTGCCTTTTCCACAAGGTGTTTAAAATTTTTATCATTCTTCCCTAGTAGCGGGCTTTTCTAAGGTTAATTTTATTTCTAATGCATATTAAAAATCCTATTAAGTGTACTTAGCCATGCTCTTCTGCAAATTCTTAACTAATATCCTTAGTTTCCTTATTAATTTTCTGCCCTTTCTTACTTTTAATTGTTAACTGAATTATCTTTCCCTTTCCCATGTATGTCTGTCTTTTCTGCATGTAATTTCAGCTTCATTTTGCCACCAAAGAAGATTTTCTCTGGCTTTTTGATTGTGAAATCAATGTGTTGGGTTGAAGCATTGAAAATACATGCTGCTTTTGCAAAATCAAATCGGAGTAAATTTGCAGCAGGTGGAAAAGTGCAGACTTGAAAGCTGTAGAACTCAGTGGGTATTGGTTTGGGTCTGGGGTTTTTTGGCTTGGAAGGGTGGAGGGGTCTGCATTTGCTTAGAAATGGGGGGGCATTCCCACACAGAGTAGTAGCCTGAAAGTGACGTTCTTCTCTGCATTACTTGCTTTGAACATCTTACATGTCTGGAGTCATGAACTTGGTTTACTACAAATAAATACCCTGCCTAAAATAGAGAGTGAATTTGTTATGAGACTTTTTAACAGCCAGTCCTATTGCCTTGAGGGATCCAGGGGCAGAATATGGCCAATAGTTTGAGGCTCCAGTTGAACTGTAGTAACATCTGTATTAGAAGATCAAGTCAGAAGATACTCACTCCACAGTGTGGGTAACACCTGTCTTGTTCCTCTTGTTATATGGGCAAGAATCTCACTGGGCTGTGATTTCAGATGATAGTATCATAGAATTGTTTAGGTTGGAAAAGACCTCTAAGATCATGAAGTCCAACTGTTAACCTAGCACTGTGAAGTCCACCACTAAATCATGTCCCTAAGTGCTATGTCTCCAGTACTTCCAGGGATGGGGACTCAACCCGCTTCCCTGGGCAGCCCGTTACAACACTTGACAACCCTTTCAGTGAAATTTTTCCTGATGTGCAGTCTAAATCTCTCCTGGCACAACTTGAGGCCATTTCCTCTTGTCCTATTGCTTGTTACTTGGGAGAAGAGAACGACCCCCACCTCGCTACAACCTCCTTTCAGGTAGTTGTAGAGAGCAATAAGGTTTCCCCTCAGCCTCCTTTTGTCCAGACTAAACAACCCCATTTCCCCCAGCCGCTCCTCGTAAGACTTGTGCTCCAGACCCTTCACCAGCTTCGTTGCCCTTCTCTGGACATGCTCCAGCACCTCAATGTCCTTCCTGTAGTGAGGGGCCCAAAACTGAATACAGTATTCAAGGCGTGGCCTCACCAGTGCCAAATACAGGGGGACAATCATGTCCCTACTCCTGCTGGCCACACTATTTCTGATACAATCCAGGATGTTATTGGCCTTCTTGGCCACCTGGGCACACTGCTGGCTCATATTCAGCCAGCTGCCAGCCAGCATCCCCAGGTCCTTTTCCTCCGGGCAGCGTTCCAGCCACTCATCCCCAGGCCTGTAGCATTGCATGGGGTTGTTGTGACCCAAGTGCAGGACCTGACACTTGGCCTTATTAAACCTCATACAGTTGGCCTCGGCCCATCAACCCAGCCTGTCCAGATCCCTCTGCAGAGCCTTCCTACCCTCCAGCAGATCGACGCTCCCACCCAGTTTGGTGTCATCTGCAAACTTACTGAGGGTGCACTTGATCTCCTCGTCCAGATCATTGATAAAGATATTAAACAGAACCATAAAGATATTAAACAGAACCAGCCCCAGTACTGAGCCTTGAGGAACACCACTTGTGACCAGCTGCCAGCTGGATTTAACTCCATTCACCACAACTCTTTGGGCCTGGCCATCCAAGTTTCTTACTCAGCAAAGTGTATGGCCATCCAAGCCATGAGCAGCCAGATTCTCCAGGAGAATGCTGTGGGAAACAGTGTCAAAGGCTTTACTAAAGTCCAGGTAGACAAAGTCCACAGCCTTTCCCTCATCCACTAAGCGGGTCACCTTGTCATAGAAGGAGATCAGGTTAGTCAAGCAGGACCTGCCTTCATAAACCCATGTTGACTGGGCCTGATCACCTGCCTGTCCTGAACATGCTGCGTGATGGCACTCAAGATGATCTGCTCCATGACCTTCCCCAGCACCAAGGTCAGGCTGACAGGCCTGTAGTTCCCCGGATCCTCCTTCTTGTAGATGAGCATTACATTTGCCAACCTCCAGTCAACTGGGACCTCCCCAGTTATCCAGGGCTGCTGATAAATGATGGGAAGTGGCTTTGTGGGCACTTCTGCCAGCTCCCTCAGTCCCCTTGGGTGGATCCCATCTGGCCCCATAGACTTGTGTGTGTCTCAGTGGTGTAAGCAGGTTGCTAACTATTTCCCTTTGGATTATGGGTGCTTCATTTTGCTCCCTACGATGGTACGGTTTTAGACAGAAGGAAGCTTTGTACTGCTAAAAATGGTTATGTCCTGCCAGTTATGTGCCTGTCTGCACTACGGTGCAGCAAGTTGTTTAAATTGTGCTTGGAATGCTACATTGCCCGTGCTTCTTTGGACTCCATAGACAAGCTCTCAAGGTGATTTCTTTTGTCTCCAGTTAACACAGGACCCCAAAGGGGCCAGCAAAAGACAATGTTATTTCAAGCTTAGTTTTTGTAGACTCTGTGGAACAGATGGCCATAGAAAATAACCTTAGTTTAAATGAACACAAGCCACTTCAGATTAAATTAAATGGAAGTATAAACCAGTGTGTAATTAAGCTTGTGGATTTCAAAGAACAAACTCCGATAAACTAAGGGAGCAGGTTAGTAAACTCAGCCGAGGAACTTGCTGTGGAGGAGGTCTGGAACTTTTTCAAGTCAAAGATGCTAAAGCCATTACAATTCTGCATGCCAAGCAAGAGGAAAAAGCTTGTAGGAAGAATATCCAGACCTCACTGAATGAATAACTACCACAGAGAAGCTGCTAGGAATAGACCGACAGCCTACTAAGGATGGAAAAAAAGAGCTGATAGCAAATAAATAACAAAAAGCTCTGTCTTACAGGTCAAGAAGTGTAAAGATGAAGTGAGAACAGTAAAAAATCACGCTGAGTCAGACCTTGCAAAGGGTAGTAAAATAAACAGCAAAAGCTTTTTAAACTGTGCAAATTGGAGGAGATGGGAAGGAAGGAAGGAGACTGCTAGTCAGTGAGGATGGGGCTGAGTCTAAAGACAGAATAGTTTTGCTCCCCAAAGTAAGCGAGTGCTTTACCTGGGGCTTCAAGTTGGAATGGGCAGCATTGCTTGTGGGGAGGGGTATGGTATGTCTGCTGCACAATGGAGATGTCTTTTGCTGTCCTCCACACTAGGGGAATAAGTGTTAATAGTGTAGATTTTTTAAATCTCCCTGGGACTGTGCTTTTTGGGGGAAGCCAGGCAGGGTGTCCTAGGGGCAGGCAAGGTCTATCACAGTAGAAAATGGCCAATGGTGCTGGCAACCTGTGGGAGTGAGGAAGGCATGAGGAGGCAGCTGCCGCATTCAGACAGGTAGAGGAAGAGGAGCTGAGCAGCAAGTACTGAAGTTTGGAGCCAGCAGACCTGAGATGGGTGGGATGGTGCAGAGGGCTGCTGATGGAGGGGAGTTTGGGATCGGGTTGAAGGATTCAGATGGGAGTCAAGTGGCAGCAAAGGGCTGGAAGAACGGAGGGCTCTGGAATAAATGAGAGTGGGACTTTGGGTGGTTTGAGTGGATGAGGATTTGGGGGTAGTGAGGAATGGAGATGCTGGCATCAGGAAAGGAGATGAATATGAAAGGATCGGGAAAGGAGATGAATATGAAAGGATCAGGATGGAGATGAGACCTGGGGTGGCTCTGAGATGTCATTGCTACAGGTTCCAGCATTGTCTGATCAGGATGGTATTTGGCCAGTACAGGGCAGCCTTTTCCCCTTGGCTCTCAGAAATATATTAGCATGGGAGCAAAGGAGAAAGGCTGAAAATGGAAATTACCACAGCCAAAGTGGAAGCAAAACTCAGATAGCATAAAGCTCTCAAGTCACAGGGAGTGCCCACTTTCTTTCCTGGCACTCTGAAAGAGCTGGCACCACAGTCAGTGTGACCTTGGCAGCGTTTACAGGAGGACCTGGGGGAAAGGATATCTCAGAGGAAGAGGCAAAATGGGAAATAATTTGAGAAGAATTTCTCAAATATTGATCACACAATCATCTAGAACATCACTGATTTCCTAAAAAGCAAAATAGATCTGATAGGTCTCATTTACCTGAACCTTCTGTGAGACATTTAATGTATTTCTCACATGGGAAACACTTGATTAAATTGGAAAAGATAAGGAAAAATGCAGCAGCTAGGAGGTGGACAAGAAACTGGTTCAAGGGAAGATGTCAGTAAGTTGTGTGAAAGGACGTATCTTGATCTTGACAGAGCTTAATTAGCAGAGTTCTTCAAGGACTTGCCTCAAGACCAACACTTAGTATTTTTGTTTCTCAGCCCCAACAGAAGAATTGGGAATGGGCTGATGATGTAAAGGTGGCAGGTATTATGAACACAGAGGAGAATCCGAATATTGTACAGCAGCTAATGACATCCAGTAAAACTACATTAAGACCATCACTTGAGGACTTGCATGAAAAATATTTCAGTCATTAGGAAACAAGTAGAAAAGAACTGGGCGCAGCAGTAAGCTGCAGATGACTGCAGATGCAATGTGGCTCGGAAGGTGGTAAATATCCTATAATGTGCTAGGGAAAGTCTTTTCATAAAACATGAGGGAATACTAATGCCATTTTATTAAGCTCTCGTGAGGCCCCAAAATACTGTATGTTCTCATATTCCCAAGCAAAATGACCTCAGACTAGAAAAGGCTTGTTATGGTTGACCCAAGGGATAGGAATCTTTTCTTAAGAAAGGGGGCTAGAATAGCTTGCCATGTTTAGCCTAGTGAAGTGAAAGTTGAGAGAGGATATGACTGATGTCTGTGTTAGTGGGAGAAATAATAAGGGAGGAAAAGTACTTTTTAAGCAAAAGGCCAATTTGGCACCATAGCAAATGGGCATAAAGTGAATACATTTAGGCTGGAAATTAGAAAAAGATACTTTATCATTGGAATAGTGATCAGAATAATGGTGGCTGAAAACCTAATTGCTTTTAAAAGGGCACTCTATACATTTGAGGAAAATATTATTTGAAGCTGTGCCTACAATAGCAAGAGATCATACTTAATAACTGAGGAGGTCCCCTCTAGTCCTGCATTCCTAAATGTTAAGTTTTCACTTCTGAGATTCTGGTTTTGGAAGTAGGAAGGTGCATGTGTAACTCCATACTCCCAAAGTATGGTTGCTGAAAGTTAGTGCTGAAAGAAAGGAGACATGGCATTGCTAAGTGGCCACCAGGTGCCATCCCACATACAGCCTTGCCCCGCTTTCCCAGCCAGTGTTGCAACTGATGTCTTCTGATTTCTAGACAGACTTCTGGTGCGTCCCCTCACTCAGTTTCTTTCTCCTTGAACCCCAGGGAGCTCTGGTGGCAGGAGAGAAGATCGTCTCCCTGCTCTCTGTGGTTCTCAGAAGGTTCTGAGAAGGACGGGACCAGAGGTCTTTTATCTTTCAGGCAGTCCTGACCCCATCACCCCTTCACTCAATGTCGGAGTCCTCGCGGTGGTGGCTCCTGGCTTTATTGCCTTTGTTTGTTTGTCTTAGGCTTTTATCTCAATACGTCTTTTCCTTCCATCTGTCTTTTTCTTCCAATTGGTTTCCATTACTCTCTCTTACTTCCCCCCAGTTCCTTATCTGTCGCCCTGTCTGGCGGACTGTGGCGGTCAGTCCTTCTGCGCTATTTACCCAGTCGGCATATGGCAGGCCTCAGTCATCAGTCACTCGAGCCACTGCCAGAAGAGCCTGGAAGGGGGTCTGGCTAATTGACCACATAGGAATTCCCCATTAATTCTCTTCCCGTTCCCATTCTTGCAAGAAAAGAATTGGAAGAGAACTTGGGCTTATGGGAAGGGGATTTGAGCCTTTCCATTAGAGGCATTTTCAACCTGTTTAAGTGGCATGGCCATTGATCAGTCCCTGCCCTCAGAACAGCATGTGGGGTCTGTTATTCTTTACCTTGACCTGAGCCTGGTCAGAGAGGAATTCTCCAATTTCCTCTGCTTTCTCCTCATCTGGGCAGCAAAGGGGGAGAGTGGGAGAGCCATTCAACAGCTGAAGCTGTGGTTACCTCCCTGGGATGTTGATAGTGGGAGCCGTGGGGGGCTGAATGGCACCACGCTTACCTGTGATAACTGGTAGCGTTTGCATTCCCCGGCACAGCTACTACCCACATGGGCCAGATGTTTTGAGCATCAGTTGCTTAAAGCCAAGTCGGAGTGAACTCAGTCCCATGATATTAACTGAGAGGGATCGAGTTGCACTGTTTTTCTAAAGGAACAAAGCCCAGGATTAGGAAGAATCATAATACTTTATAAAAACACATGCAAGGGCAAGGGAGGCACGAGTGGCCTGGGATTTGACAGAACCATAACCAAAAAGTGCTAACACAAGCTTATAACAAGCAGGCTGGCAGTGCAGCGAGGATATAGTAAGTGTCTGGGGCTCGGGAAATTCAGCTGTAGCTCTGTCTGGTTACAGTACAGCAGGAAACTGTAAGTAACGGCGTGGTTGGGTCT